GGACACAAATAAAACAATATAAATTGAAAGATACAAGCAACATGATTATAATCAAGTGTGATTGGACACACAAGGAATTGGTCTTTGGTGCATAGACTCTCAGTGTACATAAAGAAAAATAAAATAGAATACATTCCTCAAGAATAAAAAGATACAATATCTAATGATAGTCGTAGGTTACTAAATAAGGAATGAAATCATACTAGGACACAAATAAAACAATATAAATTGAAAGATACAAGCAACATGATTATAATCAAGTGTGATTGGACACACAAGGAATTGGTCTTTGGTGCATAGACTCTCAGTGTACATAAAGAAAAATAAAATAGAAAACATTCCTCAAGAATAAAAAGATACAATATCTAGTGATAGTTGTAGGTTACTAAATAAGGAATGAAATCATACTAGGAAACTGAAAGATACAAGCAACATGATTATAATCGTAAGTGGGGAGAGATAGGTACTAGGAAGGATGAGAAGAAGAAGAAGAATACAGTCTTAGTACATTATTTGACAGTGTTGTGGGAATTATTTGTTTAGCAGAGTGATGGCATTCGGGGAAAAACTATCCTTGTGTCTAGTAGTTGTTCTGGTGTGCAGTGCTCTATAGCGTCGTTTCGAGGGTAGGAGTTGAAATAATTTATGTCCAGGATATGAGGGGTCTGTAGATATTTTCACAGCCCTCTTTTTGACTCGTGCAGTATTCAAGTCCTCAATGAAAGGCTGGTTGACAGCAATTGTTTTCTCTGCAGTCCTAATTATCCGTTGAAGTCCGTGTCTGTCTTGTTGGGTTGCAGAGCCAAACCAGACAGTTATGGAGGTGCAGATGACAGACTGAATCATTCCTCTGTAATTAAAGACAAAGACTTTGTCGCTTCCCTTTTTATTCGAAGTGCTGATAATGTTGGAATACACAGACTTAAACTTTGGAACAACAGATGTAGAACTGTATCAGCAGCTCTTTGGGAGACAGAACTTCCTTAACATTTGCAGTCTTCACCTTGACAGTGGTGATGATACATTTTAAAAAGATATAGAAAACAGTAGAAATACAAGGAAATGTGGGGTCCTTGCTTTGTATTCCTTTTTTAAAAAGTGGCAACTTTGATCACTGCATGGAGAAGAGGTCAATCCATGGGTCTGGGGTTTGGGGTGCCTCCAGGGCTGTCCGAAGAGTAGAGTTCAGAAAGATAAGATGGCAGCCACAATGCCCATCAAAAGTAAATGGAGCTCCCCTCACACCATCATAGTCACCATGTCGATTTTCTGGACACCCCTGGAGGCCTCGATTTCCCTGCTGCAACCAAAAAAGGAGATGGAAGAGAGTCGGGCTTGAGGGGAGTTAGATAATGAGGGAAGAAAGAAAGGAATCAAAATTGGGCTTTGCTCAATATTGGAAAAGCAGATTCTCCAGTGTAAAAGAAGAAGAAGAAAGCCTCAAAAATTCATTGTTTTAAAAACATGAAATATTTCTGGCATAATT